CATACCTTATCATATAATGACTAATTTTGCTGTTTCTTTTATTATTATTTTCATAAAACAATAATTATTCTCTAATTAAATACAAGAGTTGAATTTATTTATTAATATTAAATACTTAATAATTATACAAGATAAAGTCATTTTCAATAAACACTGCTTTCCAGGCTATGGACACTCGGTTCTCATCTTTTTGAAAGAAGTAGTTACCCATGGTTTCTTTTGGGTATCCCAAAAAGATACACTTTTGAGGTCTAGGGTCAAGCTTGTTAGAAGTAACTCTTTTAACATATGCTTCACATACCAAGATCTTTAAGTAAGACATTAATGGAACTTTCCCATGCCATAACTCGTAGGGAATCTTGACCCAACTCGTTGTGTGGAAACTGATCCGGCCACAGAGATTATGAAGCCCACTCAAGGAGTATGAGGACCCAACTCGACGAGTTGAGGCCGTGCATGAAAACCCTAATTTTTAGGGTTTGCATCCTATTTAAAGGACCTTAAGTCCTCTCTCTATCCCCCTTACCACCCTATCATCCAGAAGAAAACCCGAAACGAGCTAACCTTCCATTTTGAGTGTGTAAACGGCTAAAGAGTGTGTGTTTGGTGCATTTCGTGGAGAAACTTGAAGGTTTAGGAGCTTGGAACGAGAATGACCTTATAGATCCAACATCTACTAAGTTGTAGCATCCTTTTGAAGGTAAAAAGTCGTTACCTTGATCATTTTCTTGTTAGATCTCTCCATTCAAGAGTTTAGGGCCTTTTTAGTCCACTTTGGATCCATTTTTGGAAGTTGAGCATGATTTGAAGTTGTAACTTCAGATCTCGACTCCTCTAGGCCCCATAGTCATAAAGTTATCGGCTTTATCTTGTCTTTGCCTTTATCCATGCCCTAAACCTCTTCCTAAGACTAGTTTTGGGTGTTTTCCCTCTTAGAGCATTGCATGCATGTAAAGTTGGCAATTTTACGTGGTAACTACACCCTAGGAGGCTAGATCTACAGTTTGGAGCCTTGGTTTCGCTTAAAAGCGTCTGAATGAGAAAAGGGCTAAAGGAACTCGACGAGTCAGAATATCGAGAAGACCCTAACCAACTCATCGAGTCACCTTGCTAACTCGCCGAGTTCATGTAGAATCCAGAAAGTGGGAAACCCTCATCCAATCGTCGAGTTGACTATGCAACTCGTCGAGTTCCTTCAGCCATTTCGCATTCAGCTCATTCCAGTCGAGTTCATGACTTCAAACTCTAAATCTGGCTTCCTAGGGTGAAGTTACCACATAAAGTTGCTAACTTTACGTGCATGCAAGGTCTCATGAGGCTAAAATCATTCATACTAAGCTTAGGAATAATTTGGGGCATGGAGAAAGCCAAAGCTTCATAAAGCTTGAGGCTTTATGTCAAAGAGAGCTTAGAGGAGTCTAGATCTGAAGCCATATCCTTATGACAAGCTCCAACCTGAGAATGACCCCCATTAGCACCAAAATGCCCATAAACTTGTAATAGATGAGATCTAAGGGATGCCAGGCCAAGGTAAAGACTTTTTACCTCCAAATGAGTGCCACCACGATGTAGATGCTAGATCCACAAGTTCCTTCCGATTCCAAGACTCCAAATCTTCAAGCCTCTTTTAATAAGTGCACCAAACATACCCTTTTAGCCTTACACAAACTCAAATAGGGTTTAGTTCGCTTAGGGTTTGCTCTCTGGACGTGAAAGGTGGTAAGGAGGCTGGAGGGGAGGACTTAAGGTCCTTTAAATAGGGTGCAAACTCTATATTTACGATTTTTCATAATCAGCTACAACTCGTCGAGTTGGGTCCTCCAACTCGTTGATTAGGTCCTCCGAATACGCGATCCCTCCTGGTTTCTACACGATGATTTGGGGCCTCCAACTCGTCGAGTACACTTCCAAATTAGTGAAGTTAGTTAGATTTATATATTTAAAAGTTGATAGCTATAATTTTTCACATCAGGGTACATCAATAAGGTAGGTGTAAAAAATTTAGAAGTAATTTGGAGATCTAGCAGAAATCAACATCGATCTACTCAGTTTGCTAGCTCTAATCATGTCTATTCTTATTTGCATTGATTTAGTGTGTGTTTATGTTATGATGAGAGGCTAAGAACCTTTAACTATTTTTGGTGAAGATGAACCCTTTGAACTATGACTTGATTTCGATTTCATGATTAATTATGGTTGGTTTTTCTAGTGTTGATAAATCAAAACTTTATATGCTTTAGTTCTAGTCTTTGATTGCCTTCATATGAGTTTTGTGTAGTAGATGATCATCTAATTGCATGAACTTTATTACCTAGTGATTTATAAGCATTAAACTGCTAGAGCTACTATTGAACAAATCTTAGATTATGTAATTAAAGCTAGTAACTTTAACTGTGTTAGAGAGCATAACTTATCTATAATTTATGCTTGGTTGCTCGATTCGATCATAGGAAAGCAACTATTAGATTTATCGTGCATACCCAAATTCATCATAATATCGATTTCGTGTTACATGTGTTTAACCATAACATAATAGTCATAAATTGGTAATGACTGGATGTTTGATCATAATGTAACATCCATAAAGTTCATGAAAATTTAAAACTTTTTCAAACATTTAAAAACCAATATTTATTACAAAATGTTTTCAAAATAGTTTCACCTCGCAATGTCGAGCTGTAGTGAACTGAAAAGATCAAACTCCCGAAGCACGACTCCAAACTCAAACACTTACAACCACCATTGATCCAATTCCATAAATTCCCAAATTACCAAAATACCCTCAGAAGTCAAACTTGGTCAACCCCTGGTTAAAGTCAAAGTCAACAGTCCATGTAGACCCAACTCGTCGAGTGTAGCTTACAAACTCATCGAGTTTCCTTTAGAACTCAAAAAGTCGCGAAAACCCCAGTCAACTCGCCGAGTTACCAAGTAACTCGTTGAGTTAATGCAAGATTCAGAATATCAGGAAAACCCTAACCAACTGGTCGAGTCACTTTTCTATCTCGTTGAGTTCATGCAGAATTCAGAAAGCGGGAAACCCTCATCCAATCATCGAGTTGACTATGCAACTCGTCGAGTTCCTTCATCCATTTCGTATTCAACTCATTCCAGTTGATTTTATGACTTCAAACTCTAGATCTGGCTTCCTAGGGTGAAGTTACCATGTAAAGTTGCTAACTTTACGTGCATGTATGGTCTCATGAGGCTAAAATCATCTATACTAAGCTTACGAATAATTTTAGGGAATAAAGAAAGGCCAAAGCTTCATCAAGCTTGGGGGCATTTTGTCAAAGACGGCCTAGATGAGTCTAGATCAGAAGCCATATCCTTGTGACAAGCTCCAACCTGAGAATGACCCCCATTAGCACCAAAATGCCCATAAAATTTTCATAGATGAGATCTAAGGGATGGAAAGCCAAGGTAAAGACTTTTTACCTCCAAATGAGTGCCACCACGATGCAGATGCTAGATCCACAAGTTCCTTCCCGTTCCAAGACTCCAAATCTTCAAGCCTCTTTTAAGAAGTGCACCAAACATACCCTTTTAGCCTCACACAAACTCAAATAGGGTTTAGTTCGCTTAGGGTTTGCTCTCTGGACGTGAAAGGTGGTAAGGAGGCTGGAGGGGAGGACTTAAGGTCCTTTAAATAGGGTGCAAACTCTAAATTTAGGGTTTTTTTTTTCATAATCAACTGCAACTCGTTGAGTTGGGTCCTCCAACTCGTTGAGTATGTCCTCCGAATACGTGATCCCTATTGGTTTCTACACGACGAATTGGGGTCTCCAACTCGTCAAGTAGACTTCCAAATTAGTTAAGTTAGTTAGATTTTTATTTTTAAAAGTTGATAGCTATAATTTTGCACATCAGGATACATCAATAAGGTGGGTGTACAAAATTTAGAAATGTGTTGCTGTTTCTAGCACATAAGGAGAATAGACAACCATTGCACAACAAACAAATATATGTTATTTGGTTGAATAACTTCTAATCAGAGTTATATATGAAACCAAAAGATTGTATTCTTTATTTTGACAACCACAATTTGGTTTATTTTATGAAGAATTGATGTCTAGAGTATGATGAAACACATTCGAGATGAGATATTACTTCATCATATATTTTATCATCCTATTAGTGATGATATGTTAGGAAAGTCCTTTAGATGAAAAATCTAACAAACATGTTTACTAAGATGGTAACAATAAGTTGAAGTTTTGCATAACTTCAACTGACATTCATGTTGATCCATGAGAAAACGTCATACTAGAGAGAGCTAGAGGATGCAAAATAGTTCTTGGTTTACAAGAGTTGCATGCCATCGAAGGCGTTTAGTTTGGTGATGAGCCTCTAGAAGAAAGATTATTGAGTCGTGGAGTTTGTTGATAGTTAGTAGAACGTGATCGCCATATACAATACAATGGCCAATAATTATCCTTTAAGATAATGTGCGTTCATAAATATCGATCTTATCAATATGTTGCTTGCATGTACATTTTACTACTATTATCCTAACAATTATATATAAGTTACATATTATTTTAAATGGTTCAGCCTAAGATTGCATGATAACAAAAAAAAAAAGTTTTTTTTTTCTATCTTTAGTCCTAATCTTATCATTTAATTAATCAACAAAATATTTATATGAATTATCTTCATTTCCTCTTATTATTTTTATAAAATGTGTATAGATAAAATGTAGGGTAGTAATGTGGTCCAAGCTCTAATCTTATATCTGTACGGCTAGTTAAATTTCACGAAAAAGTCAAAATTTTATTATTTTAATGACATCTCTCTTATTCAAATAAAATCAATAAATTACTATCTCTGTAATATGTAAAAATATATGGTTTTATTGGAAAAGAAAGCCTTCGAAAAGACCTCTAATTTGTTCCCAAAACAATGCTTCTTGCTTGATCTCAATAGCAAAAAACAGTAGATGTTTAACCTGATCAATTCAGTTAGTACAGATTGTTCAATCTAGAAAAATTATAATCGATCTATATCTTAAATAATTTCCAACTATTAGTAAACTAAATTACAAAACAGTGTGTCTTTAAACTATGTTTAATAATCCTTTTTGTGAAATTGAGAGAAAATATCCTATTTCACGTGGGATGACGTAACACAATCACATGCAAACATGTGAAATATAATGAAAAATTACATATAATGTTTAATCTAACATTTACAATTGTAGCAAAACCTTCTTTTTTTCCCCGGAAAAAAAAATTTAAAACATAAAATAATAATCCACATAAGAACTATTTGGTTATAATAATGCAAGTGCAACGCAGTTCATCTTTTAGGAGAGCACAAAAGTGCCTGCAAAATACAAACATGTTCATGGTATCAACGAATCTTTACCATCTTTAAGCATGAAAATATAAAAAAACTAATTACCCAGCATGTATATATATCATACGTTGAGACAATATGTGTATCTTCTCCGGTGTCTTCCCATAGATTCTAACTTCTGCAGCATTTCATCTGGTGTCAAGATTTCCCCAGGTGAACTAAGGAAAACAGTCCGGTGAAGTGGAGGAGACCATAGGCCGCTTTGGGAGTAATCAAATCCGAATTCCGATACATCTGCAAATTTCACAAGAAGCCTCTCGGATACAGATCTTGAGACCAACTGAACTTTGAAAGAAGATGTTGGAGACTGGATGTCGGACATGTTGATGGTGGGAATTGAAGGAGACATGATATGTAAGGGGTTGGTGTGTGCTAATGAAAGGGAGATGAAGATGAAAATGGAGGTTGGGTGGGGTTGGGGTAAGGGTAGAGGTAGGGGTGAGGATAGAGATGTGTATGGTTGTATGTAATCATGGGATATCGACGTGGGTAGCATGATTGGAAGCCTTATTTTTGTCCATTGGGTGATTATATTTTTAGTGTGTGATCAGACCAAATGAATAACATGGTTGAATTGGCCTTATTTATAAATTCTTTTTTCGTTTTCTTCAATATTATAAATTACTAATATATTAAAAAATAAACTGGATAGACTCTTACATTTACAGTTTGAGAATTATCCACTGTTAAAGTGTGTTTGGTTCGCTCCTGAAAAGGTTAGTTAAAAGTCCAGGCAAGAAAAAGAAATGGAAAAATAGATCATTGGGAATGTCGATGTTCAGATTTCGAGAGTTGAACTCCGTCGACTAGTTACATCAATAATTGTGAACCGTGGCCCTTTCTCTGCCAAGTGCCAACCAAAGTGAATTTGCTACCTATCTTTCCATTAATTGTGATGTTGCCAAAGAAGCTCTTGATTAAAATCGGGTCATGGTGGGATGTTAATATTATTGATATTGGGAGTATATATCGATAAAAACCTCTCTAAATTTGCCAGAACTTGTATTGATCGAGTGAAAGACCCCTAGTATAGGCAATTTCACTTGGTTTTTAAAGTAGCCAATTTGAAGAATAATTTGTGTGGAAAACATCCCCATATTAACACTAATTTTTTTAACAACCACAGGCGGATCCACATTGGATCCCGGGGTATCCCGGGATGCCCCTCAAAAAAATTTTAGTAGTATAAATTTTTCCGAAAAATTTCGTTTATTTTGCGTTCCTTAATATAAATGTGTTTTGCGAAAAATTAACAAAAGCTCTAGTTGGTTTAGTTGGTTATGATGACATGGTGTTTTTCTAGAGGTTGAAAGTTCGAATCTTGGGATTGAGATGTGTTAATTTTTTTGTTTATCAGTTTCTATCATATATCCCTTCAATTTTATTCTTATTTCTTGTAATTCTAAAATTGTCCCACATCGGTCATAAAATGAAACATAGCCCCTATACATCTGTTATATAAGCAACACAAACTTCTCAATTCTCAATAAGTTAAACCTTTGAATGAGTTTGGGTTTAAACCTGAAACCGAGTTTGGAAAACTGGAAAACCAAGAAACCGAACCCATTGGTTCGGGATACCCCTTTACGTTAACCTTGGCTCCGCCACTGTTAACAACAGATTAATTTGTCAAAAGAAGTATATGATAACATCACAATCAATATAAGAGACGATACATAGCAACATTATTTAACTATTTCCAACATGATCACAATATTCTAAATGTCCTCAAACTCTTTTATCTCCAAAGCTACTAGCTAGGCTACTAACCTAAGCAAATGTAAAGATAGTAAATAGAAATTTAAAGAAAGAGTCATAATCTCCCTTCTTTCTCAAAAACTCGGAAAAACATCGAAACATCAATCAGTTGGGAAAAAAACATTGCAAAATATATAAGTACACTCAATCGTAGAAAACATATGGTTTAGCTACAAAAAATAACAATGGAAATTTTATGTAGGTAATTACCTACGGAATACCTATAGAATGAAATGCACTAATTTAGTAATGAAATAACTACAGAATGGCTACGAAATAGAGACAGAACCAAAGTCGTTGGTATTCTATCACTAATTAACTACGGAATAGCGACGAACGTAAATTCGTAGTTATTCCATAAGTACTTAGCTACGGATTACAGAAAGAGGAGATTATCTACATAATAGCTATGAAATAATGATAGGTTTATAATTTCCATTATTATTATTATTATTATTATTATTATTATTATTATTATTATTATTTATTCGAATCTCAAAACTTTTTTATAGTTTTTTTTACATATTTAAAACACAAACAACAAAAAATAATAACTAATTTTAACAATATTTATAAACATAACGATAATATATAATAATGGTAACAAATGTGTTTAACATTGTGTTGGTACACCTGGTCCAACCACCAGGCTCCCAAGAGTCTGAAATACAATGATATACTAACCTAATCCTCCTTTTACGCCAGTTACTAACCACACACTCAATAATGCAACCCAAGATCCAAAACTTTCAACCTTATGGTCTCTACCAGGTCCCACCTGAATTGCCATATACACACAGGCCACTCCCATGGGCCTTACCTATTTAGAGCTACACAGTCCTGACTTTGCCTCGGACCCCAATGGTCCTCAACCTGAAACAAAGAAATGATCTCCAACAAGCCTTCTTGTTGTGTCCAAGGCATGAACTCACCCCCTTTTATACTCATGAGCACCTTAAATGATTGCCTACTCAAACTGGTGAATGCTATGATTCCATCATAGTTTTACAACACTTCCAACCACCCATGGTCTTACCGAACCCAAACTATCATAACCCTACTTATCATGAGTCGAAACCTGCATCCAATTGCATCTGATCAGGTGTTCGGGTCATGCTTCGAACCCCCACAACCTTCATTAAACCACAACAGACAACGAGGCTACAACACATCCCTCAAATTGGAACCATCCACAAGCCTGCTATACATTATAGTGGAAACGCTAATCAACTATTGAAAGTTTCCTGAACTTCAGACTTACACAACTTCAATCCAGATAGCCACTTTTTGTCGCTTCCCTCTTGACTAGGACGTGAAACTTACACTAGTTCCACATCCGAGTCAGCTCCCGATGATTCTGATAAATTCTCCCCCACTTGGATTCGCCGAAGCTATCCCATCCCACATAATTTCTTGGGTTCCCAACCTATTTTATCCTCACAAATCGACTATGATCTGCTTCTACCAATAATAGTGTTCCATTACTAGCTGATCTCGATGATTGTCTAACTCTTGAATTCCCGAAGAATGCTCCCCGAAATCCTAGCAAGTCCGATAATCTCAATCACTTCTTATGATATTGCACCAAATCCTTAAACACTATATGCTGGTGACTAAAAACCATAACCCTTGCTCTGAATTGGCAAATCTTTACCCTAACTTCTCATCCTCAAATCAATCCCTGAATTCTAACCATCTGTAATCCTTGGTGATAATAAAATTCCCCAAACACTTCCAATGATCTAACGACTTATGCGACTGACACCACTATCTCCTTGCTACCGCTCCTTTCCTAGAAATGATATTGATTGATCCTAAAGGTGCTCTCAGGTACAACTGATGGCCCTACCTGAACGGATAATATTGTGCTCGAACTCCGACTTCGCTGATGAACTAGTCTTGCTACTTTGACCATAGATCTTCCAATCCATACCCCCAAACTGGATCCACCCAAGGAAGCAGAGCAATCCAATGAACCACTGAATCCCACCCGACAAGATACGAACCACCGAAGTATCTTGGCATGAAAAATGGCATGTGAAGATTCACAATACATAATTCAGGAAAAAATAGAGAACCAAATCAAAGATACTACTTACCAACACCCAACAATATTCCAAGGCATATACAACACCGATCAAGAACAATTTTGCCGTAATATCAATACAAAATTTTGAGGTTCAAATTACATACTATATATTTCTTATGACTCGACCTTGACCTCCTAAGTAACGATGAGAGTTGGGACTTGAAGTCCCTTTGCCTCCAAACTAGGACAACTGGACCTGAAATGACCTGGGTGTTGACAGTGAAATCTTATCTGAAACTTCTTACAATCCCATTGCACATGCCCACTTTCCCTACACTTGAAACACTTGAACTTGTGACAAGAAAATCCGTGAGTTCCCCCACACTTGTCACACACCTCATGATTCTCTTGACTTCCAGTAACATGGTCAGCAACCTCAGTCTCCTCGTTCTCTGCTGAGAGGGCCCTACTCTTCTTTCCTAGTTGTGTGCCCACAACCAGATCTCCCCCAGTAGTCATCTCATTAGCAGCACCCTCATAGTCTGCAAAGCTATAGTTGCTCCTCGAGCCTGGCACTTACCCTTCCTATGATCCTATTTACGAAACTAGACAATTTTTCATGCAAAATCTAAAAAACCTCCATGATAATCATCTCCCGCAGAAGGACAACACCAGCCTGTCCTAGCCACTAGCTCCTGATCTTGATCCGTATGTCGCCTCTAATCATCTCGTCATCACCATACTGAACATAAACCAGGGAGATATCATATGAAACCCATATCATACTAGGGGAGCCAACTGCTAACAAAGCTCTAGGGGTTGTGACTTACTTGCTACGTGTAAGGGACATGTGCTTTCAGTAGTACGGGCCCATACCACCTTCCACACCTACGCATATTTGTCTTAGAGGATCATCACAACAACCCTACCAATACCCGCACACTAGCATAATCATACACTCTATTCTCAATTCCTAGAGGAATACTAAACATAATGCAACTGGTTGGCTGGCCCCACATAACTCACCCTACCACTAACAGCCACACAACCCTCGATTGGTGCCAGATAACTATTACATGAGTACAATCACCTGTCACACAACTTAAACAATCTTAGACTAAAAGATTCAATCCTACAATGGTTGGAATCAGACAAGAGTTGTGGAACGAGACCAAATCCCTTACCTTTAGATCGTTTAACCCATGAAGCATGTGACTTAGCTCATTCATACAATAGTCAGTTCATACGTGAAAGAGTCATACAATAATCAATCAAGTATTTTATAAGAGATAAGACATCATATATCAGGCTATTCTATCTTACAGTTCTTAAAGATCCCTATCCTCTGATACCAACTTGTAACACCCATAAAAATCATGAAAATTTTAAACTTTTAAAATCAACCCAAAATCATAAATTGTTTACAACACATAGTTTTCACAACATGTTCCATATCAGAGTTGCCCAAAATCATAAGTTAAAACACAAGGATGTGTACGGTCATGCCTTTTCCTTCCCACGATTGTCCGGACTACTTGAAACATAACCCAAAACTGCAAGCCGACCGCTTAGTGAGTTCCCCCAAAATACCAACACATAAAATAATAACACATATATAATAACAGCACGCAGTGGGTCCACCGCTAAAAGATTGGATTACCCCTGAGCCCACAACATAAGTCTGGCTTGCCCTCGGGGCCCATAACTTATGTCTGACTAGCTCCCCGACTAGATCAGGCCTTGGACTGAATACCACCAA